CCCTTGGATGACACCCACCGAAAAAATTAAGAATAATCCTTTACTATTTAACTATTATCTGTAAAAATTTCAAAAGTGTCGGATTGGTACATCATAGTTAAAAAAAAATAAAACCAATGCAACGCCCTTTCATAAGGCAAAGCCGGCCTGAACGTTAGAGGCGCTCAACCTAACTGACCTACAGGGGAATACGTAGGGCCGACCCGCCACGTTTCTCGTACCAGAAACAGCTCTCAGAAAAGTATGAGCTCTTCTTTCCCTAAACTGTGTGTTAGTTAACAGTCATTTATTTAAATAATATATTAACAATTTAAATTTTTTAATTAAGTTTTCTGGTCCTAACTTTTAACGTCCGTGTTTTCACAGTCTTTCTCGTTTTAAGTATGTGGGAGCCCTAAATCACAGATTTATATCATGTCTTGAACAATGGCACTGTGTTAGATGCCATTAGTTGTCCTTTTAATAGTCAAAGAAGGTATCACAGGTATAACTGCAATATCATTCTATTCAACGCTGTAAAGAACATAGACTTCTATAACTATTTCCGTCTTTACCTTTTCACGTACGTATTACTTTTAATTAAATTGTAGCTGGTACCTGTGAATAGTTGTAACTAAGATTTTCCTCGTTTTAAGTATATGGTCGCCCTGAAAAGGGTTAATTATATTATAGCGTACCAGTACTACCTGGAAATGGCTGCAATTAAGGTGACCTTCGTTTTAAGTATATGGGTGTCCAGAAAAGAGTTAAGCGCGTTTTATGGTACAAATGGTGTATTTTTCAATGCGGTTTATATGCCCCGATACTTTTTTACGCAATCACGGAGCCTAAATTGGCGTGTAAATAGACGCATCATAAAGGGTAAAGCGTACGATCCTGAGTCCATGATTTTAGTGTCCACTGTCTTGTTCCCTCTTGTTGCCGAATATAGAGGACTCGTTAATTGGATAGAATTTGCAAACTTTAAAATCTCACGGTAAAAACGTTATCTTGCGGAATTATTGGACGAACATGACGCGTTAAATATACAATATTTACAATAAAACAATAACATTATAAAAATGAAAGTTCGGTCGCGACATATAAACGGTAAAACTTACAATTGTTACATAGAATACAAATCAAACGTAAATAGTTACGCGGGTATAAACCAATATGCATGCGATTGTCCGAATGGTAACAGAACGGTAGGTTGTTGCTCCCACATCGTCGCGATCATTTATTATTTATCCCATGCGCGTTATAAATCCAGAATAGTTAAACCGTCCGAAATTTTAACTCACTTGTTCGACAAAACTAACATTATTCCAGTTATTGATGAAAATAGCGACGAAGATTAAAATTTATTTACAAGCGTGTTTTTTTTAAAAAAGTTTTTGAGTTTTCTGTTTCAAATCATATACTTCAACCTGACAATACATAACACAATCAGCTCTTTTTAGGGCTTAATAATCAGCCGTTTTCAGGGCTCCCACATACTTAAAACGAGGAACACCTTAGTTGCATTTATATAAGGGTGCCATTTGTAACGTACAACATAATCAGCTCTTTTTAGGGCTCCCACATACTTAAAACGAGAAACACCGTGAAAACACGGACGTTAAAAATTAGGACCAGAAAACTTAATTAAAAAATTTAAATTGTTAATATATTATTTAAATAAATGACTGTTAATTAACACACAGTTTAGGGAAAGAAGAGTTCATACTTTTCTGAGAACTGTTTCTGGTACGAGAAACGTGGCGGGTCGGCCCTACGTATTCCCCTGTAGGTCGGTGAGGTTGAGCGCCTCTAACGTTCAGGCCGGCTTTGCCTTATGAAAGGGCGTTGCATTGGTTTTATTTTTTTTTAACTATGATGTACCAATCCGACACTCTTGAAATTTTTACAGATAATAGTTAAATATTAAAGGATTATTCTTAATTTTTTCGGTGGGTGTCATCCAAGGGATTGTTGATAGAAATCATTTTCAAAGATTTATTTATTAATTTTCAACCCTTGATCATCGAATAAAAATTTTGAAAAAAAAATATGATATACAACTAATGAATACCTACTATTTGCACTTTAATGTGATCAAACATCTTAAATAGTTTCCGAGAAAAAAATGGTAAAGGTTTTGGGTTTTACCCTCATATCTCCCTTATCAGAGGGGGTAGGGGGTTGAAATTGCACACAATTGTTGTTTAGGCAAAAAGCATTATGTGATATCAATATCAACCGAAATTGTTACTGGGGCCGATTCACTATGCTTATACGGCTAGACCCTTTCCAAGTACCGTTAGTCGACCGCTGTCGAATTTAGCCTTCGGAAAAACTCAGTTTATGATATGGCCTGATGAACCGTGATAAACTGATTTTCGAAATCCGGAACAATTTTTGATATTAATTGTTTGGATACTTTAAACAGATACTGAAGGCTCGTATATGAATCTCCCGTTGCTAAAAAACGTAGCGTTATAGCTAAGCGTTCTTTCACCGTCATTTCAGCTTTTCTGAATCTAGTGTCGTTTTTTTTTGAATTTTGGGACCGATAGCGTTTATTAAAAATTCAAAATCTTCCGATGACATCCGCACAAAATTTTTAAAATGTCCACTTGCTTCTATCTGTAAATTTCTAACTACTTTTTCACCACTAGAGGTTGCTCTATTTTTATATACCTGACTAATCCACCATCGTTTATCTTGATTTTTTCTTCTTTTTTTTTTTAATTATTGTGTTCATAATAATATACGCTGCACTGGCGATCGTGACATCTGTTCCTGTCGACATTCTGACTTCGACTGGTTTACGGTAAAAAGAACCTTTCTACATAGAACCCAGATACAAAGGTTTACAGTACCCCAGGTAGAAAAATTTGCGCGAACAGCCGAAGAAATTTCACGTTCGTTCGCCGAGAGCATTCGTTTGGGCAAAATGCCCAAGTCAGTACGAGGCTTTACACACATTTTCACGCACACAGCCGTCTTCGCTGCAGGGGTCAAGTAAGCGATGATAGAAATGGGATGTCGACTTCTACATTCTATGGTGGCGGCACTTCCTTTGGGTAGCGTAGCGAGAGGATCACCCTGTAATTAATAATTATTAATTTATTATCGCATCCCTACAGGTAGCTGCTTTAAATCACAGATTTATGATTAAAAGATAAGAAATCAGCTAAATCATAAATCTCTGATTTTTAGCAGTCACTTTATGACTATCCAAAATTTCGTATTCTATATACAGGGTGTTCGACAACAGGTGGGCAATATTTTAAGAGGTGATTCTAGGGATCAAAATAAGACGAAAATCAAGAATAACGAAATAGCGTTTACGGCTTTGTTTTCCAGTTATTAACGTTTAAAAATTCGAGTAAAAAGCGCCAGAAATCTGCAAAATCCGCTCAGCACCGACGACCGAACGTCAGATCAGCAGGGGTCGGTACAGTCACAACCAAAAATCGAAGCAGAATGCTGTAGTACTGAGGAACAGAATAGCACGAGGTAAGTTTCTACTATTCAACGATTCTTGGTTATGACTGTACCGACCCCTGCTGACCTGACGTTCGGTCGTCGGTGCTGAGCGGATTGCAGGTTTCTGGCGCTTTTTACTTGAATTTTTAAACGTTAATAACTGGAAAACAAAGCCGTAAACGCTATTTCATTATTCTTGATTTTCGTCTTATTTTGATCCCTAGAATCACCCCTTAAAATATTGCCCACCTGTTGTCGAACACCCTGTATATACATATATATCAGAGGCATACATAGTATACTTATATATGTATATGTGTCTACTTTTAGTACACTCATAACGGATGGTTAGTAGATGGTACTACAGTCAATGTTAGACTTTTTGTAGAGGAGAGTTTCCGACCCCTGCCCCGAAATAAGCAAGTGGTCTCTGCTTCGAAATAAGCAACTCGCTATCCCCTCTTTTTTGTTTGAAGTCGCTCGCAAAGTGAGAGGTCCGAGAAATGAGCAAGAGGTCCATTTGTCGCTACCTCGGATCTCTCACTCGTTTCTACGAGTGACGTACAGTAAAACCTGGATAAATGCAACCAAGATTGGGACCCAGTGGTTGCATTTATCCAAGCGAGGTGTCGATTCTGGGCATTTAATGTTGCATTTATCCAAGCGAGGTGTCGATTCTGCGTCCGTACACATGTTTTGTATTCAGCCGACATGCCGATTCTGTGTCCGTACATATGTTTTGTATTCAGCTGACATGCCGATTCTGTGTCCGTACACATCTTTTGTATTCAGCCGATATCATTTATATTCAGTCGTGGTGTCAATTCTATGTTGTTTATTCTATTACTATTGTTTATAAATATAATTCAAACTATGTCATGTTTGGTGTCATTTTAATCAGAAAAATCTCACAAATGCGTTAGTAAAAGTTTCATTAAGAAAAAGTTAAAAATAAAAAAGGTTCATCGTTCAATTAGTATTAGTCACACCGATATTACAGTCGGATCATATTACACGGTTTTCTCGTCGAGCGGCTCGGTTCGTCTAGGGGGATCCCCCTAAGTGGAGGGGATAGCGATGTTGCACTTATCCAAGCATTCTTTCGTTGCATTTATCCAGGTTTTACTGTATCTCGACGATCTCTCATTTGTCAAGCCAATAGCATACCTGCTTCGTAATAAGCAACTGTTCGGTCCCGAGCGAGTTGCTTATTTCGAGGCAATCTGTATTTGCGATACCGAATAATTGACTACAAATTTTACCTTTTTTCATTTGTTATTATAATTTGAATCAATAAATATTTTAGTTTTGTAAAGATAGATTTGTGTTAGTTACGATTCCATGCAGTGTTACAACAGTCACTGATAAGTGGTCAGGACGGACCACTTATCAGGGTCGATTGTAACATTTTCCCCGGTTTTCATTTTTGATTAATAACTTTTTAATAAGTTTTTGCGTAATCATAGTTCAAAGTCAAATTGTTACTTAGGTCCCTGCTCTCCTCTACCTACAGTTTTCTGTATGCATGTTTTCCTGTCTTGTTACAGTAGGCCAGGGCCCGGAGCTGGAAATAACCCGTGTGACACGTCTTCATATGGGACCATATCTCTGTGTAGCATCGAACGGTGTCCCACCAGCAGTCAGCAAGCGAATTGTTCTGATCGTTCACTGTAAGTAGCTTAAACGCATTCTTAATTTGTATTTTTCAAACAGTGAAAGAAGAAATTACTAAATTTACTAATGCCTAATTTAGTAATGTCTAAGCACTCCAATTCCCTAGTTACCCAGCTTCTAAACAGATGAAACCACCTGAAAAAAGTAGCAAAAATATAATATATTGCATCTAAACAACAGATTCAACTATTAAAAGACACTATAACTAATTAAGATACATAGGGTGTTTCATACAATTGGATCAAAATATATGGAGCTCTAAAACGGGAAAAAATAGAAAAATATATCATTGAGAAAAATTATATTCTGTCGAATGAAACATCAGGTGATACATGTGTCGATACCGGAAGTAGGGGTCTTTAAAAAATTTCAAAGTCAATTTCATTTTTCCAAATGGAATTATATATTTTTCTAAACGTCAATCGATGCGTCTTGTTATTCTCTACAAAAAAGTATTGAAGTCCCTGAGTCGAAAACTGAATAGTTCATTAAATATTTTATTAGAATTTTGCACTTTGTTATATATCAATTGGGGCGTTTTCTAATTTTTGACAAAAAAATATTAAAGCATTTGGGTCTAATATTCATTGGTTTAAAAAATATCTTAGGAAAAGCCTAATGGTCTCTCTTTATCTCTCACTAATATATCTTTTAGACTAATGAATTTTCGACCCAATACCTTAATGCTTTTTTTTATAAAGAATTAAAAAACGCTTCGATCGATGTATAACAAAATAAGTACATCATTCCAATAAAATTCCTTAAAATGTAAATTTGTACTAAATTCTAATAAAGTTTTTTAAAATAGAATTTAATATAATAGTAAAGCAAACGAAAAAATACAGGGTCTTTAAAAAGTAATGGTCATGGTTTTTAGAAATCATTCCGCACTTCATGTTAAATAGATATTGGCAAAAAAGATTTGTTGCAAAATTAATTTAGAATTTTTGAAAGGTCAAAGCCTTTTTTCACTCTACGTATTCTACCTGTTAAGAGGATTAAAAGTTTTGAGGGAGTTATGTACCGGTAGTGGCTCGCTCTCACAAAATAAACTATAGCGGCTACGAGTGAGTCACAAAATTATTGGTATGCTTAGAAAGTTGATAGAAATATGTAAAATAAGTAAGCAAAGAAACAACTTTCAGTATTGTTTATTGAAGGACATATAATAAAATTGTTAAAATAAAAAATAAAAATACAATTATAAATCAAGTAAAAATAAAACATCATAATGTTTTGTTCATTTTCTAGATATTCTTTTTATTATTCTAAAAATGTAATAAAGTAATCCTCAACTCAGAATGCATTCATTTTCATTTTTCTGATGCTTGTCTAATCAAACTCTTGGAAAGAATATTTTTTGTTACATTTCTTTAATCATACAGAATAAAAAAAATGTTGTCAAGTAAAGTAAAATGTTGTTCAGTTCAATAAGAATTACTTGAATAATAAAAAATTAATATTATTTTTTTTTAAATGAAGAAGGTCTCCTTTGGCCATCTCACAGTTGCCCTAAAATAATTTGTTGCACACTAAATATGTAATCATCCCTCCTCTGCTCTATTTAATTAAAAAACAAAGGAATAAAATAAAATCAGTATTTACTGTTGTTATAAAGGATACAGTTTGAAACGCTTTAAAATGTATTTAAAAATAAAAATATGAAAGGGAAGAAGTGAATACCACATCAGTTAATCAAGGATTATGGTGGACATGGTGAACATTTGGACCATTGTCTGCCACTCTTAAATTTTTTTATTTCCAATCAAAATATATGACGAATAATGAACCTATTGCAATAATTTTAAATCAAACAAATTGTTTGCATCAATAACAAAAGGCAGCATCCATGGACTTAAATTACTCTCCTCCGTCTAGGGTCTAGTGGGATGAAAAGGTGGTACTTTGTTATCAGCTTCTTCCAACGGATCAGGTGATCACAGTGAAACAGTACAAAGAGCAGTTAAATTACTTGAACGAGATACTTCGAGAGAAATCTTCAACTCGTACAACAAAATGACGTAAAGACATTTTACTCCATGATAACGCGAGACTGCGAGTTGCTTTTGAAATCAAGCAAACACTACTTGATCTCAAATGACAAGTTCTATCTTCTTTAGCGTACTTTATTTACATTAGGTTATCTAATTACTATCAATCTTAGCTAATGTGTGTTTTTCGAAAACGGATTTCAAATTTTATCATCTCGAAATACGAAGAATTTTTTTACTGTGGCATTCATACAGAGCTGGAGCGCAAAGAATAATTCCGATTCCGGAAATTCAAAAAATTATGAAACTATATGAATATGTAGTGAAACTTCATGGAATGTCCTCCCGATTAACACGCAATTTTCGTTTGCTGCCCGTTTTCAGTCCGAAAGGGTGAAAATCGCATTTACAATTTTTACCATCTCTACAAAAAGTACAGAAAATTGATTAAATACAGTTGTCTACAACTAATTGTAAGAAAAATAATAAAACCCTAAATAATATTCTTTTAAAATAATACACTGACCTCTGGATGATTCAGGAAGTATTTATGCTGATTACTGTAAATCAGTAGCTAGTTACTATAGAAAATCCCGCAAAGATCTTGAAAAGTTGTTAATGATCAGTTAATTCCTTAAACATTCACTCACTTGGTCCACTAAAGAAGCCATAACGTCATGAAATCTTAACCATTGAGTAAAATTTACAAGATATGCATGTAAAAAAGCGATATCAGCTCGTGTAGTCCTGTCAGCGACAATATAGCGAGAATCTACTCTATGTATTTTCATCGTCTAATAATCAGGTGCCAGATAATCGGAACTCTACTGTACTTGGATTAAAATAATGCTATAGTAATCTTATCAGGGTCGGCCCTAGTATTGTGCCACCTTTTCCTCTCTCATAAAAATTATTACAATGATATTTTAAGACCCACTGCGTAAATATAGACTTCAATATGTCTAATTATGTTAAGGAAAATTCGTAAGTTAATGAAAAATTATTCGTTAATTAGTTAAATTAGCTAGTTAAAATGGTATAAAATTGAATTATATGTCGATTTAACTAATGAGATTCTGGTACCTGGTTTCTACAGAGAAAGAATAAATGACTTTTGTATAATTTATTTTATAATTTATCACAACTGAATTTCGTATACATAGCTTACGCCATCGGTAGAGCCGGCCCTGGATCTTATTACAAACTTGATGTATTACGGAGCCATAAGCGACATTGACCTAGGGAGGATGGTACGAAGGTGAAATTGTGGTTTGACATGGGTCATTCCATGCCAAATCGATCACTTTTTCACGTCGATATCAGACTTTGTTCCAAATGAAACATGACATAATGCATACGAAATTAAGGAGAGTATGTCATTATTTTGCTTTCGATTTCGCAAAAAAAAAACACAAAAATTTTGGAACTTTTCAATTTTTGTTTATTTTTATCAAAATAGACTTGTGAATTTTTGTAAAATTTAGTGAAGTTATTTGTGGGATTAAGTTTAACTTTCCCATAAACTCCACTTGGAGATTAATCTACTTAGCAAAATCATAGTACCTAAAAGAATTTCATTATGAAGTCAGTGGTTCCCAATTTTAGATTTGTAATGAAGTTTTTTAAAAATAACACATGTATATTTCACGCAAATCTTAATTATAGTTCAATTAACTAAATTTTAAACTGGAGATAACTGAAAATCTGGATCTTAATGAGATAATCTTGGAGAACTGACTTACTATAATATTACTATTTTTTATTTAAAAAATTAGTTTTGGATCATTTTACACCAAATAGATTAATTTCTTCCCTCAATATCTCGAATTTCTTTCAAAATGAGGTATTTTACTCGTTTCAAAACCGTTTTAGAAATACAAGCCTTCGAATTTTGTGATTTTTGGCCATTTTAATAAAAATGGGTTATTCGTTTGAATTTTTATCTTAAAAACTATTCATCGTATTAAATAACTTTTATTTTGTTTTAATGGAGAAGGATTACTCTTTTTAAATGTGTACGTCCATCGTTCACAAAAAGTCTCGTGGGGAGGCAAAAAACCATAGTTCACGAAATGCTGTAGAAATACTTGCCAAAAAATCGGAAACCCTGAGAAGGGGGCGTGAATGTGTTAGTGCGACAACTTCAGTGCGATAGGTTCGATGCAACTCACTCATCGTCAGTGTACATCGAATGTCGTCCAAAAACAATATTCAATGATGTTTATTGTACAGGTCTTATTTGTACCTGCAGAAAAGTTTCGTTAATCTGTTTAATTCTGCTGTTTCCCTTGTTTACGCGTTCATTTTACAACATTTGCTATATTTAGCATATATTTAGCATACACTATATTTTTGAAGTGAAACTTCTTTAGACGCAAATTCGCCTGGATTAGATGAAAAGTGAAACGTTTCCTCTTCTCCGATTTCAACCGACTCTACACGCATGCGCGGCGCGTACTGTGTGTAAACGTAGCATTTTCTCTAACCATGGTAGTGTGAGTTGGCCTGATCGAGACGAGAATTGAAACGGTTCTCCGACTCCAACCGACATTTGAGAAGAAAGAGAGGGAGAATCATTTCTACTCTCTCCGCCGCATACATCATACATACAGGGTGATCCTCTCGCTAGTGGACTCAAAGGAAGTGCCGCCACAATAGCATGAAGTGGCCCAAGTCCTTTTTCTGTCATCGACACCTTTTCACGGACACAGCTACAGTATGCACCCCCGTCGAGAAAAGGGCTTGGGTCCATTCATAATGGTGTGACGGCATTTTCTTTGAGTCCACTGGCGAGAGGATCACCCTGTAGATGCGCGAAAATTTACAGTCTGAATTATTTGTATCATACTTCAGCTATCATAAATCCATAATTTCTTTCTTATTGTTAGAGTATGAATTAATAGAAACTGATGAATAAAAGAGATATTTCATTTAATTAAGAGAGATTTCCCTTAATCAAATTCCATTTTCTAATCCTGAAGTAATAAAATCATCAACAAATGCTA